AAAGCACAACAAAGAAGATGGCAGCAACTATTGAACAGTTCTCATTTGACTCAGCTTTCGAATCAGTTTTGGAAGGATTAAACTTTGGAAGGATTAGACTTGGGGTTTTTGTTTAAAGCAGGAAGAGGCTCTACGCTCATTCATTTTTAAGAAGGACGTATTCGCTGTTTTACTGACAGGCTGTTTGTTTACACTCGCCAACCAGCTTCCTACGACACAGTCAGTTTTGCTCATTGGTCAGAATGTTGGCCAATAGGCACAGACATTGGTTTGAAAAACAACGGGTTGTTCTCATCAACAATCTTAGGAGAATAAATAATGAGTTATCAGTATATACAGGAGAATTATTAGCAATATTATTAGCATTACAATGGATGGAGGAGGTGAGACCACCAAGATCAATTATATGTTCAGACTGGAGTTCAGCTTTAATCAGTGTACAAAATCATAGTTCGGAAAGTAGATCAGACATTTTAATTGAAATACAGCAAGTTTTATATCAAGTTCAAATGATAGGTATTAGTAATATATATATTTGGGTGCCAGCACATATAGGGATTAAAGGAAATGAAATTTCAGACAAGATTGCTAAGGAAGCATCACAAAATAAAACCATTGATATGATGATTAACTTAAGTAAGACAACAATAATAGTATCATCAAACAAAGGATACAGGAAAGGTGGCAAAAACAATGGAAAGAAGACAGGAGAGGAAGATGGTTTTATAGGATTCAACGGAAAGTCTGAGAAATGAGGATAGCAGAAGGAAGCAGAAGATAGGAAACAGTTATTCAAGACTTAGATTTGGACATACAGGATTAAATCATACACTATTCAAAATAGGGAAACGTGTCAGGCAAATGGTAATTTTTAGGAAGAAGAAGGAATTTGGTTAGAGACCTAAATAAGGAGAAAGTTAAATTTGATTTGATAGATATTCTGCAGAAATTGTCAAAAAACGTTATCTATATTTATTTAAATATTTAATAATAACAGGAATAATTAGGAGGATTTAGTATTTGTAAAGTAATATTATAGATATATAGATAAATAAATATAAGTTTCTTTATGAATAGGGCAATTCTGATCCACACTCCTCACCAGCTGGTGGCGGTAATGCACCGAAAAGTTGTTTGCCGACCGCCATTAAACGCAAAACAAGACATTAACAATCTTCCGATGTCTCATTCATCGGAGCCAGACTAAATTACACATTTAATCTCACATTTAATCTGGTTTATGAGGCAACTTTCTTCGTTTAAATTTACAGAGATTATTCTCCAGCAGAGGGCGGTAGTGCCTCTGCTTACTGGCTTTCAGAACAAACAGGAAGTAGCTGTGTCCGTGACTTCAGTCCAGACGGAAGCATCGTTAGCTTAGCTGTGTTTTATCAGTGTGTGAGGATCCATTGTGAGTCTGCGCAGCAACGATGGGTTCAGTTCAGCCTCTGAGAGAGTTTATCAGACAGAGACTAACTGCTGCTGCTGAAGAAATCTTCTCAGAGGTGGAAAAAACCATCATCCAGTACGAGGAGGAGATCAACCGTCAGAGACTGCTGGACATCAGCTGGAGACCCCGGATCAGCTCACAGAGCGCAGGTTCGGTTCTGGTGGGTTCTACTACGGGGGACACCTCAGGGCCACCGTAGACATTAAAGGATGGGTTGGTAAAGACAGTTTCGTTTATTATTTTCTGTTGCTATGTGACTAAAATCCGACCGGAAACATGACCACTTAATGGAAGATTCTCCGTCCAGGTATCAAATAGTGGATGTGTTATTTTATATATTTTTTTAAACATACTTTAATAATCCCAGAGGGAAATTAATTATCTGCATTTAACCCATCCCCTTTGGGAGCAGTGTAGGGAGCATTTTGGCTTTTTTCAGCCTACTGCAGCTTTCACCACTGTACGCTCTGTCGCCTAGCAACCATTAGAGTTGACGCACAACGGAGGAAAAGAATGAATACCGAACTTTTCACTGCTGTTCTGGGTGTTAATATTTTTGAAGAGCTTCGACAGCTGCATCGTGTCAGATTTATAGTCCCCATGCTGCCGATATATTAGAATCTGTCCTTAAGTTACAGCCAAGCTCATTTACCCAGGGACAGATAAAAACATTTCAATAAACCAAACATTACCTGACACTTTTCTGACTCAATAACGATTTCAAAAACTATTTTCATTAATTTTAGATGAAATTATTAACAAACTGGTATTATATTAAACTGAACTTCCAATATTCCCCACTGTTTGGCGCCAAGTACCTTTTTTCTCTGAACACAGAGCAACTGGCTTGGTTCGATCTGCAATGAATCCTGGGATATCCAAGGATACGTAGGACACACCTGACCCATCCTTTAAAACGGGCAAAAAGAAAGAAGCATTTGTCAGCTGCATAATGAAGAGTCTTAGGGCGTTTCTCAATATGCGTTCTTGAGCTTTCTCGTGTGCTCGTTTACTCGTGACACGTCATCAGCCTCAGCCCGAGTACCGTTCCAATTCTC